GTTCTTTCTTTTGTTATGATTCCAAAGAGAATTATATATAAAATGATCTTTATCGTATTCTTACAGTTGATTTAATCACTCACTAGCAAAGATAAAATCAACATCATACGAATGAATTCCAGTATCAAAATGATCAAAGAAGCAGTTTTAGAGATGGATTCTTTTGTGCAATTTCTATTAGACGTTGTTTGGCATCACCGCCAAGTTGATTGCCTGCGAGATTGAGTACAGTAAGTGCCTGAAATCTTGTTAAGTGTGATCGAAATAAAGATCAAGATTCGATTTACATTGTTTTGACGAAGACCTTGGATTAAATATTGAGCACCTTGAGATCCAATCTGATTATTTTCCAAATCAAGTAAAGTTAGAGTCTAGAAATAACAATGCGAAGTTTAAACGAAGTAAACATTTGAAATAACTTTGTTTTGTTGTAAAGCATTGCCGAGAAAACGTGCTCCCAGATTACCAATAAAATTGGATCGAAGTTTTAAACTTGTCAATGTCTAAAGACAGCGTTAATCTTATAGTAATGGGTAAGTAAATGAGATATATGTTGTTACGGTATTTTCTTGTAAAACAGCGGAGAGATATTTTAACCCTTGTGCTCGAATTTGATTTGAACGCAGATTCAACACAGTCAATGTCTATTTGAGAAGTAGTTGTCAGCAAGAGCTTTAGTTTCAAACTAACTCGATTTTGTGATAAACTGTTGGACAGATGCTGTACTCCTTGATCACTGATGGTGTTGGATTCAAGATTGATACTAACAAGTGTCTTCAACGTATGCATAGTTAAAAAGGAGAGCCGTACAATAGCCAACTTACCGTGTCTTGTTTTAATATATCTGCAAGATAATGTGCTCCTTGTGGCCCAATAAGATTATGATGAAGATCCAATGTCACTGGTGCCTTTACAAATATCGAAATTTACATTGAATTAATGAGAAATATTTTGCAGAAGTTACTGTGTTTTGTTGCAACGTTGCTGCAAGAGTTTTGATTTCAGTATCGTTGATTTCAAGCCGAGATAAGTCTAAGTTGATAGAGTTCTGTTAGGAAAGAAAGAATGCGTTTGTGCTTTCTTGCGTTTCTGACAAGTATTCGAATTACCAGACAAATACTTACCGGTTTTGTGATCGAAATTCGTGTGAATTCTTTCAATTTATCCTTGAACGATGTGGGCGATGAATTTTTCGGTTGTACCATCGTATTCTCAATCAATGGTTTAAGTTTTCGCTTTGGAATCATCGGCTTTGCTATTGGGATTTGATAATGAATAGCATTTGGCTGCTGTACGCTAGGCAATATTCGTGATGGAATAGGTGGAAGTGTGGGAACAGCATATTTGGACGGAACTTCTTTTAGATGGATAATCGACAAACCATTCCCTGAACTAAAAGAGCCCACTACTTCGAATTGACAAGCAAATGGCAGCAAAACATCGGCTTTTGAATAGAATGAATACTGCTGAATATTTTTACTCGATCGACAATCGATAATAAACAACGTTCTTGCTCCATTTCGTCCTAAAACATCCTCACTATTCAGTTCATCGATCGCAGTTGTACATTTGGTAAATCCCCACCAAGTGAATATTGTCTTAGGAGGATATTGGGTGATTAGATTGAGTTTAATAGAACGATATACAATCGGATATGAGGTATCCGTTGGAAGTTTGGTCAAAGCGGTCAAGATTAACTTCAAGTACAAATACCATGGTTCCAATAAGACTTCATTCATTGTCTGCAGTGTAGTATCAAGGATAACAGCGAATGATTTGTCTTTTGGTTTCCATTGCAGTGTATACAATAAAATTGATGCTGATTCATCAATTGTACGATCATCGGATGGAACATGTAGAGCTTTTTTTACAGTCGCCACCATTTTTTTCACTTCTGGAACGAAGGACGCAACAGAGGCGGTTGCTTCTTCCAACGAAACAATCGGCAATTTTTCATATTCTCGAATGAATGAAATGATTCTTTTGTGTGGTGCATTGAACAAGTTTGAAATCTCTTCAGATTTGTTACTGTAATTAGTAACCATCTACAACCAAAATCTTTAATGAAGAAAAAGTTTATCTACGATGAAGAATAGTTTAGTTTTGTTGTCATATTACATTTTCGTTATCTCGAAATTTTTCTTTGCACATGTTCTTGATACACTACTCTCGAAAGACTAACGTGAGACGTTTTGGCACGCATATATGGTAAACAGAAAAGACAATTCTCAAATACAGTTTTCATCATCTTGTTTATTTCTTTCTAGATAGTTTTCTTCGTATAACAAGTCATCATCGTGGTTAACATACAAAAACAACAACAGCAATAGAATAAATATGTCCACTGTACAGAAAACGAATATACAAACAAAAAATATGTACAAACTAAATATAATACAACACTAAACCCATCATTCATTCGTATAAATGTGTTTGACCATGGTTGGTTCGACTTCCAACACACGCCTTACAACGGCAACATCCTCCAAATAAAGATCGATCAATCGATTGAATGAGTAAATACGGTTTCAACAACGATTTTTGTTTCACATGTGCTTGATAGACCTACAAGAAGTGATCATAGTTCATGAATAGAGGACTAAATACCATTGCTTCTCACCTGCATGCTACGACCATTGATAACTTGTCCATCCATCGCTTGGATAGCTTGGATTGCATCGGCTTGCCTAGAATAGTTCGAATTATTATTCGAGATGACACTGAAAAATTGAAGACATACTTTTCGAAAGTAACAAATCCATAGCCTCGGGACTGACCATTTCGTAATGGAATTTCCACATCGTACACTTGACCGAACACCTATATAAAATTCGGTAGGTTAAAATTGAGAAGAAAACTCATATTAAATAGCACTTACACTGAAGATTTTTTCAAGTTCAATAGTTGACCAATAATATGGAATATTCGAAATCCAAAGACGCATTGGTGCTGATTGTGTTTTCTGAAGAAAAAAAATACTGACATGAACAAATGAATGATCTAGGTGAAACATCTACTTGTAAAGGATAACACATGCTTGGTGACGGTTTGGTTGATTGTTGAAGACGGAACATATTGCTCGCCAGTAAAACAAATGATGGGAAGATAATGCAAAGAAGATGTGCCTTATATACCCATCATTAGCTATCATAGCTCAATGAAGAACAAACGGCAACCAAGAAGTAACCGTTACGTATTCAAACGTGACCTAACCGTTACGGACGTATAGGTTGATTTTTCAAATACAACGGATAAGCTAATAGCCTGTGTTCGCTTCTATGTCGGCATTGAAAGATCAAAGCGGCACTTTGAACTTGGCTAGCCTGGAATATATCCGATATCCATGCACAACGATCGGTCAGTCGATCTCGGCTAGCGCAGAATGTTTGCTCTTTGATCAATAAAGTCGTTTGAAAACGCATTGTTACCAGAAACTGTATGAGCTTTTTCACATGTTCGTGAAAGTGATATCGATCTTGGTGAATTAGGAAGACGTAGATTGGTTTAATGTCTATAGATTTTTTCTTTGGTTTCGCAATCGAAGGGCATTTAAAGTTAATCGCAGTCAATAGAAAATCTGATCTGTTTCTTGTTTCTACATATGAATAGATACTTGGATAAGTGAAGATTGCGCAATTAATGTTGAAAACACCTCTCAAGTTCAGCTGAAATCAGAAATGATCTGAAAAGGAAATATTCATTTTTCTTGGAGAAGAAAATTCGGGACGAAGTTATTTGCAAATACGATTTTCAAATCAATCTATTTACTTTGTGTGAAAACAGAACGGTAAAATTGATATTTAATTCAAGTCCATCTCTCCGCCAATTGATCTTGAAAATTCATCTATCGATCACTTCGACAACAAGTCAAAGATCTCATTTCAAAATCAATATATCCTACACTCGGTTTTTTTCGTCATCAAAATCTATGAAATCAAATTTCTGATCATTTGAAGATTTATAACAAAACGAGAATCACATCATGACTACAATCCATAATTATACAACACGGCAAGCTGTAAACTTTCCAATAAATATCTTGTCAGTTGATTTTTTACGGTCAACTCTCGTATGTTTAGGCTTCCATTGGTCTTCAGCCAGGCAATTTAATTGGTGAAACGCATTATGTCACTGAGAGTCAAATAACACCGCCGATAAAGCAGCGAGTTCGAAGTAGAAAACTTCTCAGCGTAAGAAACCAAATACAATTCTTGATTTCATCACAAATTCCTCTCTTTTACGCAGACGAATATAAGTCGATGTCAATGCTGTTGTCCACCGATCGCATCATCTCTATGTCGTTCGTGTTTATGTCCTTGCTGGGCATACCTACTCATCGGTCTTCTCCTAACTCTACTGTTAGCAGCTTTAGCTGTTGAGATCGGTCTATTAACTCGTAAGATCTCTCGGCTTACATTTGTCGTCTCTATGGTTCCGACTGCTTCGTTTTAGGTGAGAAACTCGTCTATCGAAGAGTAGTTTGTAATTATATATACAATTCAACCACCATCAGAGATCGAGATAACAATGACACAGTAATAGTGTATACGTCTACAAGTGAACCATGTGATAATCGACCGGATGGAGCTATACTCGATTCAGGATCATCCGTTTGGTCATCTTTTACATATATATTTCTTCTCATCAATTTCATTGCTTATTTAATTAATTACTGAATGGATTTCTTTCTAATGCATGAAAGTTTATGAACATTTTTTTTCTTTTTTCCCGAATCTTTTCTCCTTGATCTATAAATAAAAGTATTGATTGACACAAGAGGGCGCCAGTTCGATGATAAATTAGAAAAAATATTTCCGATTTCTCTCAGAAAATACTAGACGTACAATCTGATTTGTAGACATGTGAAATATAATTCAATTTATGACAAATTCAAGGCATACCACTGTGTTCGTTGCTTAGCAACGAGAAACAAGTTTGTTCTGCGTATTATGTCGTTCCGTTGTTGTTGTATTTATCAATTTCTATAACGATTTTTCAACATGTTTCAAACGAGCGCACTTCGTCGACCATTTGGTCATCAAACATTGATCTACAATTGGCAGGAAGAACGTGCCGACATAAAAAATGAGCGAGTTCAAAAACCACTTCCATCGCAGGTTTATTTCGCGTTTTTTTCAACAATCAATACACGTTCTCTTTGAATTTTTAGTATGATCACTATTTTAATACTACCTATGAAAGCTCATTTGGTACCACGCATGGTGATCCACCTCGTCCTGAAGTTCGCCACCTTGAACGTAAGTTATAATTATATTCTCACTTAAAAAACAATTTCGGTTCTCCTCTTAGTTCCGCGTACGTCTGCATTTCCTGGTCATCAGCCAGAATTCGATTTTCCCGAAATGAAAGCATCAGTTAACACATACTTGAGCGAATATCGAGCTGCCTACTGTCGTAACTGTGGTCGGGTGTTAGGACCCGATGATCCAGCATGGTCATCAGCAACCAAAGTTTGCTTACATTGTAAAGATCGTACATATACGATTGATCCCAAGCCGGAACCATATACCGTTACTGTTGATTATCCACAAAATCCAGCAGCGAAAGATCGCTGTTTGGCTTGTTTGGAAATCAATACCGGTGTGAAAATGATCAAATAAACCGAATGAAACTCTGATTTTGATATTTTATTTCGAAATAAATTCCGTATTTTATTATATTCTATTTTCAGATTAATAATGACGATGGAGGCGACTGAACAAGATCTTCTTGCAACACAAAAGGCTCTCGAAGGAGAGCTTCAGAATAAAATCAAACAAGCAGTGGTCGATAGTTTCCTTCGGGTAAGTTGGACGAAGTTTTCTGATAAATGATTGAGATGATAATAAATCTTTTCCAGGAAAAACTGAGTCGAGAAGAGAAATTTACTGAAAAAAATAATAACAAATTGAACACACAATGGTTGTCGGTAATGCGAGCGGCGAAATCGAAAGAGCTGAAAAAGGAAATCGAAATTTTATCTCAAACATTCGGTCGTATCATTGATCGAAAAGATACTGTTATCAAAGCATCTTTAGCCGATATTGACGAATCCGAAGAACAATATAGCATGGCTTTACGAAGTTTCTTAGAATCTATTGAAAAAATGATAAGTAAGTTCTAAGTGCATCTTATCGGACACGAATGGATCGATTTATTTTAGAAATGCACACGTTAACAATCGATAAACTACTTGATCAATATGAAAAAGACGTCGAACAGGTGAAATTTGAATTTCTCGATGAACGTGAAAGGATCATTCGAGATCACGATGCATCAAAAACGGAATTACAAGACATTATCTACAACATGGAAAAAACATTTCTCGATACTGAAACAGCAGCTGAACAAAACTTTCAAGCAAACATGGAAGAACTACGTGACCGAGTTCGTTTTCTCTTAGTGATTCGGACGTTCATTCTTTTGATTTCTTTTAGTACCGAGAAGATATTCAACAGTATCAAAGCGAAGTTGAAAAACGTACACAAGACCTACAGACTGCAATGACATCAATGCAAACGAGGTATAAAGAGGAAACAAGAGACAAAAAAGCTCTATATCAAGAGTATAAGATGAAAGATGAGAGAAGCTCGAAAGACATTCGCGAAGCAACGATCTATATCAACCGAATGACTGTAAGTAACAAAGAAAAACACGCCGTGACCATCATTCTTTCCATTCTAGGAAAAAATCAACAATATCAAAGCACAAATAGCATCGTTAGAAGCGAATCATCAATCTCGAATGCAAAAAGTTCAACAAGTAACTTTCATTATATTCAATGGATTTATATCGAAATGTTTTGTTTAGGAAAAAGATAGTATGAAACAATATCTTCGTGATTTGAAATTTCAACTATCCGAAATGCAAGAAGAATTACATCGTCGATTAGTTAAACTGGCATTAACATGCGATGCAACGCAGAAGAAATTAGAAAAACGAGTTAAAACTGCGGAAACTATTTTAACGTTTGCCGAAATGTGTCGTAAATTAGAAGCAGAAGAAGAGAAAGTCCTTCCGTTTTATACATCAACCTTAACTGAAGAAGAGCGAGCTGAAGTCGATGCCGCTTTCTACGAACAACCTTTCGAAGAATTAGCTAAAGTGAGTTGTTCTTTTCAGTACTTCTTTTATATCGACCCGTTGGTTTTTCCAAGGATATGTATACCTATAATTCATTGGAAACATTTTGGAAGCGATTTGGCAAAGTCTCTTTGGATAAACTTGCTTTGGAAAAAGAACGAAGTATTTTACATTCCGAAAACATGCAATTGAAAATGTTATTGAAACAGTATCTCGATGGTATATCAGTTAATGATGAAATCATGAGTCAAACTAATCCATTGATGATCTATTCATCCAGACGTGTACTTGAGTACGTATTCGATTTTGATCGTTAGCCATATAGCGAATGATTTTCTTGTAGAAGTCAATCGACTACCAATCAGTTACCAAATACTCGACCGATAAAAGTGGTTATTGAAGCTCAGCATGTGAAAAGCGCCTTTTGATATGTCTATTTGATCTTGTATACGTCTTTTGTCTGTTTTCATATATATTTTGCGTAGTCCGTCTTTTCGTATTTTTTAATATGAATATCCTCTACTTGATAAAATGAAATCTTTTTCATACGTGAAAGAAACGAGGAATCAAAGATTATATTTGAACTTTATCTTGTAAATGTTTTTTATAATCTCTATAAAATCGAACATCCTTATCGTTTTCATCTCGTGTTAACAGTAAACGTTGAATGGCTTCGTCCGTTCTTTCGATTGCTTCAGGCAATCGTTGTAAACGTTCAAGTACAGTAGCCATACTGTAATAAGTCACAGCAACGGTTGAATGGTTCGACGGATGTAATTTCAATTCAATTTCCAGACATTTCTGATAGTTTTCTAACGCTTTATAATACTGACTAAGTCGAAATTGTGCTCCAGCAAGATTGTGATACTTTGTCGAAAGTTCAAGATCGTTTCCATTTGGATACAATCGTTGACGAATTTGTAAGTCACGTTGAAGATAAGGCAGTGCTTCTTCGTATTTACCTTGTTTCACGAGTACAGAGGCGATGTTACCAGCATAAGCAACAATGGAATCTAAGTCAGGATTTGACGATAGAACTTGTATATCATATGCTTTTCGATGGAATTCAAGCGCTTCGGTATCCAGTCCTTGTTTATGGTAGATACTTCCCATGTTATTATAAGCTGGAGTTAGTTTTAGATCATCAGGTGGCAAAACGCGTAAGTAGATTTGAAGAGATTTTTGGGATTGTTGAAGTGCACGATCATATTGCTTTTCTTCGTAATAATAACAGCAAAGTATATGATACAAACCTCCGATAGTTAAATTCGCTTTCGGGTCTTGTGTGACTAATGGATGATTGCTTAGTATATCGCAAACGTATTCCATATTATGAATATCTTTCACATGTTTCATTAATTTAACGATTCGAAGTAAGAGAAATGAATCATGTATCGTTGCATAAATATTCTTTGTTATTTCTTTTGTGATATTAAATAAATCGGTGTTGACTGAAAGTTTTATGACTGGAATGGTTCTATCCCTTTTCTTGACGCTTGAAATACGAAATACAGTTGCAGCTGAAAGAAGTAGTTCTTCTGTATTGTTTGGAAGTTCGATCATAGGTATTTGTACGTTCAGCTTCATTTGAAATAGAACAAAGATAACATCGGATTCTGCAGATGATGACTTCGATGTTTGTTGTTGCTGTTCTGTCGTGTCTTTAATTTTATGTGCAAAGAGAAAGGTATTGAAGACCATGAGACCACCTTTATTTTTTGATAGTGATTCATACAGATTATGAGAGACATACTGAGCTCGATAGATCGTTGTTGGTATTGACAGAAGATTTGACTTCATTTGATGTTGAAGGTGTTGTACATAGAAACGAAGTTTAAAGAGAATATACGGATCAGGTAATCGAAATGCTCGAAACAACATTTTGAATAGAAACGTCTTCTGACGTGTGTACCATCTAACAGCCTCGTCTGGTCGAAAATCATGCTCAAATTCATCAATAAGTTTTAATTGTATTTCATTTCCAGCATATTGTTCACGGCAGAAATCTAACATATCCTTCTGTAAATCAGTTGTACCATCCGTCTCCAGTATCAAATCTTTCAACATTTGAGTATAAATAAGATTCTTATTCATATTCGTATCATTAGTCGAGACGGATGAAATTGTTGTTAGATCAGTTGTAAATGACACTAGGTCCATTTCTAGTTGGCGACATACTTGTCCTAAATCAGTATGAATGCCTCGAAGTTTTACAGAATCATGTGTTTCTTTTGGACCATCGTCGACAATGTATATTGAATGAAGTTGTGATAGATCACGAATGTGTTGTGGTAATTTTTCTAGATTTGCTTTTGATAAAATCATGATGATTCGTTCTTGAACGATATCGGTTATGTAATCGATACAGAACTTATCAGTCGTATTGTCGATTATTAACCCTGAATTGATAAGTCCTCGTAATTGAATTTTATCATAATCGGATATTTCGATAGTACTATCCAAAATGTAAACAAAACTTTCGACGTTTTTTAAAATTAGATGACAATTGGTTGGTAGAAAAGATTGTAACGGTGGTGGAGTTTCTATACGACGAATAATATTTTGAATCAAATGAAATGAAGAAGAAGCAAACCTTGTGACGAAATCGATTTGGATGTCTGATGAGACGTTTCGACATCTTCGATACTATTCATATTAGTTGTTGATCTATATGTTTTCAATGAACTAGTGTCCGTGTGAATGATCCAATCTTGGATATCTTGATTTTGGTTGGAGGATTTCGGTGATTCTTTTTCTTCTACAGGAAAAATAATTTTGTGCAAAGAAAATCACTTAGAATGTGTTAGTCTCACGAATAGATTTTGGATTGTGTCCAATAGTCTCATCGATACTAGTCGATGAGCGATTGGAGTTTGTTAGTGTCTGTTCAGTATATGATTCCTTATCATTATTCAATGCTAATTCCAGAAGATGAAAATCAACGGATTCTGATCTGTCTAGAAAAAAAGGCACGAAGATATCACCATTTCGTATGCAAATTCTTGTGAATTTTAGCACCTGTAGTGACTGATTTGCAGCGTTCCATCTGTGTACCACCCTTCTCTGTAAACAGCAAATGAAACTCAGAAAACAAAATACGCTGTCATGCTCTAAATGTTCTTTACCATAATCATCGATTGAATTTGTAGTCATTGATTGTCTTTTTGATTGTGTGTTCTATAAATAGATTAACAGATTTTCCGGTGAACGAAAACCAGATGGAAAGAAGAAAACTACTTTTATGTATCGACGGGTTTCCTTATGATGCGAATTCTGTTGGTTTGACGATTCATTCGGACACTTATAAGCTGAATTTGTAAATCGGGATGGAGATGGCAACTTGTATTGACGTATTTGTTGACAATGATTATCCGTTGACTAAAATAAATCGACCAATGCAAAGAACATTAATATTATTCATTTCGTACTAGAACAAATCTCCGGACTTACATTATTTGCTGGCGAATTACTGATTTTTGCTGATAATATTTTTCGCGAATATCTATTTCGACATCTGATGAAAGTCGACGTAGTAGTTTTTTTTATCCGAAAGACACTCCACTCACTTTTCACATGAACTACCATTTCGAATTTGTTTCACTGAGAATTGCTCATGTTCATCAGGAAGACATTGTTGTCTACTGTAGTGATATTCACAACAATCCTTTAGTACACTATGAATTAATCCTTTTGTGTAGTAAACTAATGCTAAAGGAGATGTTGCCCGACGTTGAATTTGAAACGAAAAGGAATCTAGAAAATATCTACGATGAATTGAGTCAATCGATAATCGTAACATACCGCCTTTGGCTAGAAATCCTCGGTACACGATTGTGTTATCACCAGTACTATGCTGTTGTACAACAACGATCTCATGACGAATAGTTCGTGTGCTGTGATTAATAGATTTCAATCCATAAGACATGGTTATTTCACATCCACGATTTTCTGTCGAATTTGTATCGAGTTGATTTGACTAGATGACGATGATGATATTTTGCACAAAATATTAAAATAATATGATGAAAACTCACATGATTAGCACCAACAGGTTCTGAATCAAATTCTGACATGTTTTCGTCAAGTCTTGATTTTCTACCATGCGCAGAAGTGACTCGTGGTTGTTGTTCACTCTTATAACCGATTTTCTATAATCCCATGGCAATAAGATCTTGACAATGATTCCTCATATGTTACCTTCGCATACGTGGGTGCACTTTTCTCGCGCAATTTTTCATTTTCGTTTGATTGTTTTCGGTGGCGTCTATCAAGAAGCTGATCAAAATGAAAGTGAATATTGAAAACAATATCCTTTGTCTTTACTTGAAAATTATCAAAGGCAGCCCGACGTGAAGCAATTTCAAATCGATGATAACGACTAAGTCGATTATTTTCATTGTTTTTCAAAGCACTAAACAATCTTTAATCTAACAGAAGATATTGAAACGAGAAGATTCTCAACCGTAAAAGACTTTCTGGTGTAACGGTATCATCTTCTCTGCGTTGGCGTTTTCGAGCAGATAATGCACAAATGGATGCATTCTGAGGAACAACTTGTCCACGACTATTAATCTAAACATCAAACAAAAATTCGTAATGCAGACGAATTCCAAACGAACGAATTTTCATCATTACCAAACCAGCATGACGAAGCTGAGGTCGAGCGTAAGGTGAGGCGATCACTGCTTGAAGGCGATAATCTTTTTTAGTGTAACCTGCCCTAGTGAACCCGTATAGGAAACACTTTTGAGATATGATCGTTGCGTACAATTCGTATTTACCGTATTTGATTTCTATCCATCATCGGTCAGTTTATTCTCTCTGAGAATTTCGTAGTGTTTTCGACGCGAAAGTGCAAGTTATTTATTTCGAAGCGCGTCGACAAGTGCACACCATAACACTGTGATGTTTCTTGCTATTTTTATCCGTGCCAAAAAGAACAAGCAATGGAAATATCTGCAGCATTTCTTGAGTAAACAATTGAAATTCAATGAAGAAGTTTTAATAGAATTGTCCGTTTGTATGTTTTTCTAATGAAGAAGAATAATAGTGTTCGGAAGGCAATTTATGAATTAAATATTATATGTTAGATAAAGAACGAGAGAAAAAACGAAACAATGAAGTGTCGGGCACGATTTATTTACAAGAAAAGGGAAAAAAAGTAAATAAACCTACTTTATACAATTTAAATAGAAAAGAATTTTGCACCCATTTACAACACTTGTTCAAACAGTTGCTTTGGCTTCTTGTATAGAGATAATGTGTAACAATATATCAAGATAAGATAATTGGAAAAGAATAATTTGACGAAGCTCTTACATGAATTAAAACGTACGCTAGTAAATGCATTAGTACAAAACATTCTCAGATTTTTGTCTGTATAAATTGTCTCATGCTGATTGAACATGACGTTAATTAAAAGAAATTT